CCAATTGTAAAACCTTTAGAAAGCCATGGATCATTTTCCAAAAATGATATGTTAAAATGTGTTGGACCCCGTTTTTTAAAATGGTTTTTATTTAATCTTCTGAGTAATATGATAATAGTAGCCTGACTGTACGATGTAACAGCGGACAACAAACGGTTACACAAACATCCGCCAAATTTGCAACCTGTGATCCAGCCTGTTGCAGGTGACTTCACGTGAACATGGACACTATATATGCAGCGTTATCCTTCAGTAAGCTGCTTAAATTAATCTGTGCCACTTTTGGAACACCCTACATCACGTCAAATCAAATGTTACCTTCCTCCATAACTTTAGTGCTGAACTTTTTTAAAGAGTTAATTAAAAAAATAAAAAAATTGAAGCACAGAAGTCAAATAAACGTGGTACAGTTTGACTCTTGCTCCTTTCTGGCAGATTTAATATAAATCAAATAAATATTTCAAAGCCTGTTGCAGAAAATAAACTTTCTTACAGAAATGTTAATATTCAGAAAATAAATCCATAAAATCTTTAATTGTAAATGAAAAGGTAAAGGGATGTCTTGATGTTGTCAGCTAGAATGAATCTTCAAAAAACATAAACCATCATAACTCACCTGATATAGCCTCAGTCTTTATCTTGTTTTATTTTATGTTATTTTTCTTTATCCTTCCTTAGCAAACGATTTCACCACAAATCCAGGAACACTGACTGTTTGGAAAAGGTTGCGTCCAAGTCCAGCTTCTTCTCTCCCCTCCCCCTCCAGTCTTAATCTTCACTATTATCCCCAGACTGCTACTTACGAACCACTTGCTCTTAAAAATCCTTTGCAAGTTGAACAAAAAACCCATTTGTGTATCCACATTTATTCCTGCTGTGGAAAATGAATTAACATGACACATATTTTCTAATGATAATGTTATTTATTAAGGAAAAACTTCTATCTAAGCTGACCCAAAGTGAAGATAGATTAAAATGTTGAATTTTACTATTTCCTCTTAGAACTGAAAAACTGAAGGATAAAATAATCACACAAATGCAATCTAAAAGATAAAAAAAATCAACAACACATGATTCCCTGATTGCAAAGGGTTAAAAATGTATTTCTCAGAATTTGGGACTTCAGAGAACAATGGTGAAAATATGAAACAGTTTAAAACCTTCCTGGAGTTTTAGAAATAAAACAATTTGATCCAGGAGGGAAAAAAATAAAAATAAAACAAGAGCAACATTCAATGTTGGATGACTTAAACATGGTTTGCACTGCTTGTAAATGTTTTTGCTTGATTTGGGCATTTTACATAGCAATTCAATTCAGTTTATTTCTATAGTGCCAATCAATTTTAAATAGGTCCAATCAGATTTAAGCTCATGCACAACAATTATGAACAGCCATTATCAGTGGAGCATCGATTTGACGGGTCACCATGACAACAGGCAACAGGAAGTGTCTATTTCAATTCAGTTCAGTTTATTTATATGGCGCCAATTCACAACACATCATCTCAAGGCTCTTTACAGTTCAACCAGATCATACAGTCAAATTGATTCAAAGTTTTCTAAGGAAAATCAGGTGATTGCATTCACTAATTGACTCAAATGCAATCCCTCACACTAAGCATGCTTGTAGCGACAGTGGAGAGGAAAAACTCCCCTTTAACAGTAAGAAACCTCCAGCAGAACCAGGCT